TCATCAAACTTGTCTTCCATGAATGTGGCATCGCGACTGATCTTGATCGCTCCTGTTGACACTTCCTCAAATCGATATGACTTCTGGTGTTCGGCGTATCCCAGGAAACGACAGAGTGATGACTTGGAGTCGAACTTCGCGCGTTTGTCTTGAGGCACTTGAACATACGCGTGGCATCCAAACACTTTAAGGTTGGCCAGAATCGGTTTCTTCATCGTCCACACTTGATATGGAGACTTGTCTTGGTGAATGGCACGTGTTGGACAGCGGTTTCGAAGAAACATCGCCGTCATCACTGCTTCACCCCAGTAGCTCTTTCCCAGTCCAGCGTGTTCCATCATGCAACGCGCACACTCGACCAGCGTGCGATTCATTCTCTCAGCTACTCCGTTTAGCTGAGGAGTATATGGGGGTGTGAACCTTTGTTGTATTCCCCGTTCCGCGCAGAATCGTGCCAGCTTGTCGGACTTGTATTCACCCCCATTGTCGCTTTGAAGGTACTTCACGCGCTTTCCGGTTTGCGTTTCGGCCATCGCAGCGTATTCCATGAACTTCGCCGCAACTTCAGATTTGCTCTTGAGCAGATAGACGACACAGTATCTTGACTTGTCATCAATGAATGTCACGAAGTACCGTTTTCCACTGAAAGTTGCCATCGACATCGGTCCGCATACGTCGCTGTGAATCACTTCGAGGAGTTTGGAGGTGCGAGCTGTAGTGTTTGATTGGAAGCGCACTCGAGTCTGTTTTCCCAGAGCACAACCTTCACACACGTCCCACTTCTTCACCGAAGATATGTCGATGCCAATTCCAATGTTCTTCGTCACGATGCAATTGAGTCCATCGTGACCTATGTGGCCAAGCCGAAGGTGCCAGAGGTACGACTTGGTGCCCCCTTGACATCCCGACGACTTGGCTGCATTTGCTTGTTCCGGCGCCACTGGAGTCATTTGCAGCTTGAACAGTCCTTTACCTTCACGGGCACCAATTTTCCACTTGGTCCCTTTCGCTTCTCCATAGCACCCATCCTTCGTGAACGTCACTGGGCCGACATCCTTGGTGAAGCGGCCGACCGAGAACAGGTTTCTGGATAACTTTGGGATGTGCCACACGTTTGTGAGCACACCTTTCTTCATCCCTTGGGGTGTCTTCATCGACATGACAATGTCCCCACTGCCGATTGCTTGGACGATTCCATCATCCGCGAGATGGACATCCACAGCGTCAAACCCCTTGTAGTTCCGCATGAACTTCTTGGAGCACGTCATGTGCTGCGTCGCCCCGGAGTCGACCAGCCAGATGTCGCTCGATTTCGCAGATGTCGTTTCACCGATCGAAAAGAGGTAGTCGCCCGAGTCTTCTTCTTGAGCGACGTTTGCACGTTGTGATCGATAGCGGTCGCCGCTGTCTTGAGCACGCTGTGGCCGGTGTCTCTCCGTGTTTTCTTGGATGCGCGAGGGGCACTCCGCCATCCAGTGACCAATCTTTCCGCAATTGTGGCACGGCCAGGACTTCTTCACTGGTCGCCCTTTGCGCTGATTGTCCCTTGTGATGAACGCTTGACCTTGCGAAGCTTCATCACCTTTACTTCCTTGCTCCTTCCGCTTCATTTCTTCATGAAGCAGTCGAGACGTCACGAGCTCCCAGCTAAGAGTGTCTGAGCGCGACTCCAAAGCTGTGATCAAGAATTGATACGAGTCACTCAGGCTGCCGAGGAGTGTGATCACCAGATCGTCCTCGCAGACTGGAGCCCCCACCGCTTCTAGCTGTTCCGCCAGCGTCTTGAGCTTGTTGATGTGTTCGAGCACATCGTCGCCTTCTTCCATCATTGTCGTGAAGAAGCGACGGCGCAAGAACAGCTTGTTGGCAAGACTCTTCTTCTCGAAGTGGTCTTCCAACCTTGACCATGCGTCGCATGCACCACTTGCCGACCGGACCAACGGTAGCTGGGAATCTTCCATGGCTAGACAGATCACTGCCATCGCCTTTCTTGACTTCCTCTTGTACGTCGCTTGGTCCAACTGAGTCTCGCACTGTTCCGCCTTGATCTCACCGCTGACGACCTCCCATAGGTCCCGTTCCTCCAGCACCATCTGCATCTTGAACTTCCAGGCGTGGAAGTTAGTTCCATCGAACTTGGAGATGCGGAGGGAGGAGGCGTCCATGGCAGCTAAGCTTGAATTGTTGGCGGTTTCAGAGTCTGACGAACTTGGGCTCATAACCTGATGAACTTTAGACTTCTTGGTCCGAGTGCAAAACGCAAAGTGAATATATATTTATAATAGGTACTTAGTTCGCAACTTTGAATACTACCTCTAAGCCTATTATTCGCAGTGACGTCATCCAGTGACGTCACCCACTGACGTCACCCACTGACGTCATGCAATGACGTCATCCAGTGACGTCATTTCCTGACTTCGCCCTTACTGGTACATACCGGTACCCACCGGTATAGCGAAGCTTGGTCTTCCACTTGCTTCAACACTTGACGCAGCTTGACGAGGTGTCTTCTTCACAGCCGCTGTCTTTTCAACACTGACGAATGAGCATGCCAAGCGTCAAGGAGAAAAAGGGACAACGACAGCGACTACGGTGAAGGCTGAAGATGCAAGCAAGGCATTCAGCGCCGAGCGTGAGCCCTACCAATGCACGTATTGTGGCAAGGTGGGACACACGGTGGATCGTTGCTGGACAAAGCAGAAGAACGAAGGTCGGGGAGCCCGACGCGGCGGCAATGGTCGTGGACGCAGGGCTAACAATGTCCAGTGGGGACATCATGATGAAGGCAATGGCTACGATCGAGTGGCGTTTGCAGTCTCGTTCGAATGTGGAGTTTCGACGAGCAAGGACGTGTCTGGAATGTGGGCCGTCGACAGTGGTGCAACGCACCACATTTGCCACGACAAGACCAAGTTCGCAAGTTTGGCAGAGCGCAATGAGGGCGAACTCTTGGTGGCTGATGGCAACAAGGTGGCCATCAAGGGTGTGGGAACCATCATGGAAAAGGTGGTTCTGCCCAACGGTGAAGAGCGTGAGATCGAAATCAAGAACGCGCTATATGTTCCAAGTATGAGCAAGAACCTGCTCTCGGTGCCACAGATTAACAGCCATGGCAAGTTTCAAGTCGTGTTTGACGGGTCCAAGATGTATGTGACTCTCAAGAACTCACAGCAAGTGGTGGCGACAGCGGATCTCGTGGATGGACTCTACTGGCTTCCGGACGACTCAACGATCAGCGAATGTGACAACAAGTGGAACCAGTTGTGCCGATCTACATGCGAGAATGGGTCATGCTCCAGTCGATGTACTTCGCAAGATGATCGCGACCAACATGATCAAGGATGTGCGAGTCCCTCTCAAGTCGGGTGGAGCAACTACATGTCGAGGATGTCAACAAGGGAAAATGGTCCAAAAACCATTTCCAAGCAACCGAGACAAGCGCAGCTACGATACGTTTGAGCTACTTCATCTGGACATCTGCGGGCCCATGGAAAAGGATTCGCTCGGTGGCAGCAAATATTTGCTGCTGATCATCGACGAAGCCAGTGGATGCATGAAGGGCTTTTGTCTACGAGTGAAGTCCGAGAGTGAAGACTACATCCGGAAATATATCACCATGGTACAGACGCAATTCTGTAAGAAGGTCAAGTTCGTGCGACACGACGGAGCTCGCGAGTTTGCAACCAACTCGCTTCAACTGTTCTACGAAGACGAAGGCATTGAACAGCAGACAACGGTGCCGTATGCACATCAAACAAACGGAACAGCAGAGCGTGCCATTAGGACTATTGTCACGATCGGCCGCAGCATGCTTCATCATGCCAAACTGGACAAGTGTTTCTGGGCCGAAGCAGCGATGACGGCCATCTACGTCAAGAATCGACTGCCGTCACCTAAAGTTGTGCACAAGATCCCGTTTGAGATCGTGTACAACTCCAAGCCAAGTGTCAAGCACATGCGAGCATTCGGCTGTCAGACATTTATACTGACTCCGAAGGAGAAGCGACTCAAGTGGGATCCAAAGGCTCGCGCTGGCATATTCGTGGGCTACGAAGAAGTGTCGAAGGCGTATCGAGTTTATGACATCGAGGCGGGGCAGGTGGTTATCAGCCGCGATGTCAACTTCGACGAGTCCACCTTTGGACTTCAACTGCCGATCACTGATGAAGATGTCGATGACCTGGACTTCGAATTGCTGGATCTTGATGACGAAGAGCTGCGTCAAATGGAGTACAAGCAAACAGGCAAGCGCAAGAACCGACTCAATGATGAAGATACAGCAGCTCCACGACCGCGTGCAGTGCGTCAACGACCAGGACTAGAAGAGTCAAGCGCGCCGGAAAACAACTCGTCACGACAAGAAGAAGACGAAGAAACGAAGGATTCTGGTGATTCAACACCGCCTGTGTTTTGGCGTGCGAGTGCAAATGCCGTTGAAGCAGCAGTGGACTTATCAGAACCCTCAACATTTGAAGCAGCAGTAAGCGGCCCTGACCAAGTGCACTGGAGAAAAGCAATTCATGCAGAGCTCGAGTCAATGCGACTTCGCGGTGTGTTTCGTGCAGCCAAGCTGCCCAACGGACAACGCGCCATTGGCACAAAATGGGTGTTCAAGATCAAGCGCAAGGCGGATGGATCTATCGAGAAGTACAAGGCACGACTTGTGGCCAAGGGTTTCCGCCAAAAGTATGGAATCGACTACACGGAGACGTTTTCGCCCGTGGTCAAGCATGTGACGCTGCGAATGGTGATCGCAATTTCCAAGCATTTTGGATGGCCCATCGACCAGCTTGATGTGGTGACAGCTTTCCTGTATGGCGTCATGAAGGAACAAGTGTTCTGCGTGATTCCTGAAGGCGTCGAACTTGACAGTACGTTCGACTGCCTGGAATTGGTGAAGTCAATTTACGGCCTCAAGCAAGCGTCGCGAGTGTGGAACGAGACGTTCGACGAGTATGTGTGCTCCATCGGATTTCAAGTATCGGACTTCGACCCATGTCTCTACATCAAGACTTCGGACGGCCATTGCGTGTTTATACTGGTCTACGTGGACGACGTCTTGGTGACTGGAAGCTCGCTCGAGCTGATTGCACAAACCAAGAACGACCTGAAGACGCGGTTCGAAATGACGGACAGCGGCAAGTGTGCGTTTGTTCTTGGGATCGAGCTTTTGGACGGTGAAGATGGCAGTGTGACACTATGTCAGCGTCGGTATGTCGATGATATCCTCAAGCGCTTTGGCATGGATGATTGCAAGGCAGTCGCAAGTCCAGTCGACATGAGCTCTCGACTTGTTTCAAGTGATGCAACTACCAAGGTCGATGCTCCTTTTCGCGAAGCTGTTGGTGCGTTGATGCACCTGACCACTGCAACGCGTCCGGACATTGCGTTTGCTGTGGGCTATGTGTCGCGGTTCATGGAAAATCCCCAAGAAGAACACTGGGTTGCAGTTAAGCGTATCTTTCGCTACCTACAAGGCACCAAGACGCATGGAATTTGCTACAAGCCAAGTGCAAGGATCGACTTCCGTGGATATTCGGATGCGGATTGGGCTGGTGATCTTACCGACCGCAAGTCAACATCGGGGTACACGTTCATGCTACTCGGTGCGCCAGTCAGTTGGGGCAGCAAGAAGCAGCCAAGTGTTTCGTTGTCCACGAGTGAAGCCGAATACATCGCACTCAGCTTGTCGATTCAAGAGGGCAAGTGGATTCATCGTCTGCTTTGTGAGATCGTGATGGCTGCCAATGAAGAAGGACCGGAACTCATGATCCATGAAGACAATCAGTCGTGTATCAAGATGACGAAGAACCCAGTCAACCACGGCCGTGCCAAGCACATTGATATCAAGTACCATCACATCCGTGATGAGGTCAAGCGCGGTGAAGTGAAGCTCAAGTACTGTGAAACTGCGGTGATGTTAGCGGACATCATGACGAAGGGACTTCACGGGCCACGCCACAAGGAGATGACGGCGACTCTCGGGATTCGTGAGCATTCGGATTGAGGGGGCGTGTTGACGGTCATCGGTTTTCTACCAGTATTGGTAACCGTGACCGATCCAATCCGAACCGCCTGTTCAGCTTAGTATTTACGACGTAGTTCTTACGGTAATTACCATAGTTGATTAGACGCGTAGGATGATGAGACGCTTCACATGATTTATATGTACACCACATATAAATCATGTAGTAAGTAGTAAGCCCCGATAATCAATCACTTTCGAATCTTCCAACTATTGGGCAAGTGTTTTCTGCTCTACTCTCTTCGGTCTCTCCGCTCCGTTTGCTCCGCTTTCCTCGCTCCGATCTACAATGCAACAAGCAGATAGACGACACAGTATCTTGACTTGTCATCAATGAATGTCACGAAGTACCGTTTTCCACTGAAAGTTGCCATCGACATCGGTCCGCATACGTCGCTGTGAATCACTTCGAGGAGTTTGGAGGTGCGAGCTGTAGTGTTTGATTGGAAGCGCACTCGAGTCTGTTTTCCCAGAGCACAACCTTCACACACGTCCCACTTCTTCACCGAAGATATGTCGATGCCAATTCCAATGTTCTTCGTCACGATGCAATTGAGTCCATCGTGACCTATGTGGCCAAGCCGAAGGTGCCAGAGGTACGACTTGGTGCCCCCTTGACATCCCGACGACTTGGCTGCATTTGCTTGTTCCGGCGCCACTGGAGTCATTTGCAGCTTGAACAGTCCTTTACCTTCACGGGCACCAATTTTCCACTTGGTCCCTTTCGCTTCTCCATAGCACCCATCCTTCGTGAACGTCACTGGGCCGACATCCTTGGTGAAGCGGCCGACCGAGAACAGGTTTCTGGATAACTTTGGGATGTGCCACACGTTTGTGAGCACACCTTTCTTCATCCCTTGGGGTGTCTTCATCGACATGACAATGTCCCCACTGCCGATTGCTTGGACGATTCCATCATCCGCGAGATGGACATCCACAGCGTCAAACCCCTTGTAGTTCCGCATGAACTTCTTGGAGCACGTCATGTGCTGCGTCGCCCCGGAGTCGACCAGCCAGATGTCGCTCGATTTCGCAGATGTCGTTTCACCGATCGAAAAGAGGTAGTCGCCCGAGTCTTCTTCTTGAGCGACGTTTGCACGTTGTGATCGATAGCGGTCGCCGCTGTCTTGAGCACGCTGTGGCCGGTGTCTCTCCGTGTTTTCTTGGATGCGCGAGGGGCACTCCGCCATCCAGTGACCAATCTTTCCGCAATTGTGGCACGGCCAGGACTTCTTCACTGGTCGCCCTTTGCGCTGATTGTCCCTTGTGATGAACGCTTGACCTTGCGAAGCTTCATCACCTTTACTTCCTTGCTCCTTCCGCTTCATTTCTTCATGAAGCAGTCGAGACGTCACGAGCTCCCAGCTAAGAGTGTCTGAGCGCGACTCCAAAGCTGTGATCAAGAATTGATACGAGTCACTCAGGCTGCCGAGGAGTGTGATCACCAGATCGTCCTCGCAGACTGGAGCCCCCACCGCTTCTAGCTGTTCCGCCAGCGTCTTGAGCTTGTTGATGTGTTCGAGCACATCGTCGCCTTCTTCCATCATTGTCGTGAAGAAGCGACGGCGCAAGAACAGCTTGTTGGCAAGACTCTTCTTCTCGAAGTGGTCTTCCAACCTTGACCATGCGTCGCATGCACCACTTGCCGACCGGACCAACGGTAGCTGGGAATTTTCCATGGCTAGACAGATCACTGCCATCGCCTTTCTTGACTTTCTCTTGTACGTCGCTTGGTCCAACTGAGTCTCGCACTGTTCCGCCTTGATCTCACCGCTGACGACCTCCCATAAGTTCCGCTCCTCAAGCACCATCCGCATCTTGAACTTCCAGGCGTGGAAGTTAGTTCCATCGAACTTGGAGATGCGGAGGGAGGAGGCGTCCATGGCAGCTAAGCTTGAATTGTTGGCGGTTTCAGAGTCTGACGAACTTGGGCTCATAACCTGATGAACTTTAGACTTCTTGGTCCGAGTGCAAAACGCAAAGTGAATATATATTTATAATAGGTACTTAGTTCGCAACTTTGAATACTACCTCTAAGCCTATTTTTCGGTGAGTATCGTGAGTCACCCACTGACGTCACCCACTGACGTCATGCAATGACGTCATCCAGTGACGTCATTTCCTGACTTCGCCCTTACTGGTACATACCGGTACCCACCGATATAGCGAAGCTTGGTCTTCCACTTGCTTCAACACTTGACGCAGCTTGACGAGGTGTCTTCTTCACAGCCGCTGTCTTTTCAACACGGAGTTCCATAAGAGAACAAAACACATCGACATACGCTACCATTTTGTGCGTGAGAAGGTGGAATCAGGTGAAGTCGTTTTGGAGTATTGCCCGACTCAAGATATGCTGGCAGACATGATGACCAAGCCGATCGCCGCTGTACAATTTGAAAACATTCGCGATCGACTTGGGATCCAAGGTGCCGCAGCTAACGAGTCGAGAGGGAGTGTTGAAAAGACGGCGGGTGTGAAGAAGACACCTCGTCAAGCTGCGTCAAGTGTTGAAGCAAGCCGAAGACCAAGCTTCGCTATACCGGTGGGTACCGGTATGTACCAGTAAGGGCGAAGTCAGGAAATGACGTCACTGGATGACGTCATTGCATGACGTCAGTGGGTGACGTCAGTGGGTGACGTCACTGGATGACGTCACTGCGAATAATAGGCTTAGAGGTAGTATTCAAAGTTGCGAACTAAGTACCTATTATAAATATATATTCACTTTGCGTTTTGCACTCGGACCAAGAAGTCTAAAGTTCATCAGGTTATGAGCCCAAGTTCGTCAGACTCTGAAACCGCCAACAATTCAAGCTTAGCTGCCATGGACGCCTCCTCCCTCCGCATCTCCAAGTTCGATGGAACTAACTTCCACGCCTGGAAGTTCAAGATGCAGATGGTGCTGGAGGAACGGGACCTATGGGAGGTCGTCAGCGGTGAGATCAAGGCGGAACAGTGCGAGACTCAGTTGGACCAAGCGACGTACAAGAGGAAGTCAAGAAAGGCGATGGCAGTGATCTGTCTAGCCATGGAAGATTCCCAGCTACCGTTGGTCCGGTCGGCAAGTGGTGCATGCGACGCATGGTCAAGGTTGGAAGACCACTTCGAGAAGAAGAGTCTTGCCAACAAGCTGTTCTTGCGCCGTCGCTTCTTCACGACAATGATGGAAGAAGGCGACGATGTGCTCGAACACATCAACAAGCTCAAGACGCTGGCGGAACAGCTAGAAGCGGTGGGGGCTCCAGTCTGCGAGGACGATCTGGTGATCACACTCCTCGGCAGCCTGAGTGACTCGTATCAATTCTTGATCACAGCTTTGGAGTCGCGCTCAGACACTCTTAGCTGGGAGCTCGTGACGTCTCGACTGCTTCATGAAGAAATGAAGCGGAAGGAGCAAGGAAGTAAAGGTGATGAAGCTTCGCAAGGTCAAGCGTTCATCACAAGGGACAATCAGCGCAAAGGGCGACCAGTGAAGAAGTCCTGGCCGTGCCACAATTGCGGAAAGATTGGTCACTGGATGGCGGAGTGCCCCTCGCGCATCCAAGAAAACACGGAGAGACACCGGCCACAGCGTGCTCAAGACAGCGGCGACCGCTATCGATCACAACGTGCAAACGTCGCTCAAGAAGAAGACTCGGGCGACTGCCTCTTTTCGATCGGTGAAACGACATCTGCGAAATCGAGCGACATCTGGCTGGTCGACTCCGGGGCGACGCAGCACATGACGTGCTCCAAGAAGTTCATGCGGAACTACAAGGGGTTTGACGCTGTGGATGTCCATCTCGCGGATGATGGAATCGTCCAAGCAATCGGCAGTGGGGACATTGTCATGTCGATGAAGACACCCCAAGGGATGAAGAAAGGTGTGCTCACAAACGTGTGGCACATCCCAAAGTTATCCAGAAACCTGTTCTCGGTCGGCCGCTTCACCAAGGATGTCGGCCCAGTGACGTTCACGAAGGATGGGTGCTATGGAGAAGCGAAAGGGACCAAGTGGAAAATTGGTGCCCGTGAAGGTAAAGGACTGTTCAAGCTGCAAATGACTCCAGTGGCGCCGGAACAAGCAAATGCAGCCAAGTCGTCGGGATGTCAAGGGGGCACCAAGTCGTACCTCTGGCACCTTCGGCTTGGCCACATAGGTCACGATGGACTCAATTGCATCGTGACGAAGAACATTGGAATTGGCATCGACATATCTTCGGTGAAGAAGTGGGACGTGTGTGAAGGTTGTGCTCTGGGAAAACAGACTCGAGTGCGCTTCCAATCAAACACTACAGCTCGCACCTCCAAACTCCTCGAAGTGATTCACAGCGACGTATGCGGACCGATGTCGATGGCAACTTTCAGTGGAAAACGGTACTTCGTGACATTCATTGATGACAAGTCAAGATACTGTGTCGTCTATCTGCTCAAAAGCAAATCTGAAGTTGCGGCGAAGTTCATGGAATACGCTGCGATGGCCGAAACGCAAACCGGAAAGCGCGTGAAGTACCTTCAAAGCGACAATGGGGGGTGAATACAAGTCCGACAAGCTGGCACGATTCTGCGCGGAACGGGGAATACAACAAAGGTTCACACCCCCATATACTCCTCAGCTAAACGGAGTAGCTGAGAGAATGAATCGCACGCTGGTCGAGTGTGCGCGTTGCATGATGGAACACGCTGGACTGGGAAAGAGCTACTGGGGTGAAGCAGTGATGACGGCGATGTTTCTTCGAAACCGCTGTCCAACACGTGCCATTCACCAAGACAAGTCTCCATATCAAGTGTGGACGATGAAGAAACCGATTCTGGCCAACCTTAAAGTGTTTGGATGCCACGCGTATGTTCAAGTGCCTCAAGACAAACGCGCGAAGTTCGACTCCAAGTCATCACTCTGTCGTTTCCTGGGATACGCCGAACACCAGAAGTCATATCGATTTGAGGAAGTGTCAACAGGAGCGATCAAGATCAGTCGCGATGCCACATTCATGGAAGACAAGTTTGATGAAGGTCCGCGCAACTACAACGATGAGTCAAGTGTCGTTGAGTTTGATGATCATGATGAGGACGAAGAAAAAGAAGAAGGTAAAACTGACGACGACATGGACTCGAGCGACGATGACAACGAAGACACCAGGTCTTCGAAGAGCAACATCAAGAGACACACGCGCACTCAATCACTTGAGAAAGCTACCGTCATTCCAAGTCCCAAGCGAAGAACATACAGAGGTCCGTCGCTTGAGCATGTGTCAGCGGCTGCAATGGATTTTGAAGCAGCCTACATCGTTGATTCAGTGGGGGAAACGCCGACTACATTCAAGTCGGCGATGGAATCAAGCGACTCCGGCAAGTGGAAAGAAGCGTGTGACTCGGAGTTCGATTCGCTTCAGAGAAACGACACGTGGGAAATCGTGCCTCTTCCGAAAGGTCGCAAGGCCATCGGGTGCCGATGGGTTTTTCGTGTAAAGGAGAATCAAGATGGCGAAGTTGAACGTTTCAAGGCAAGACTTGTGGCCAAAGGATTCTCACAGAAATTCGGAGTTGACTATGAAGAAACTTTCGCACCGGTGGCCAAGTTCACATCGATTCGTGTGGTGCTCAGTATGGCGGCTAAGTACGGCCTAATGCTACATCAGATGGACGTCAAGACAGCGTTTCTTAACGGCTCCCTCAACGAAGACATCTACATGGACCAGCCGGACGGATACCTGGATGCAACACAGCCGGACTATGTGTGCAAGCTAAAGAGATCACTCTACGGCTTGAAGCAATCGCCTCGCATGTGGAACCAAACAATCGATGGGTTCATGATCAAGATGGGATTCAAGAAGTGCGAATCGGACCACTGCATCTACATCAAGCGAGACGACCAAGACATGATTCTCGTGGTGCTCTACGTCGATGATCTCATCCTGGCCAGCAGCAACAACGAACTCCTCAAGTCAACCAAGATGGCGCTGAGCAAACGCTTCGAAATGACGGATCTCGGTGAGCTCGATTACTTTCTCGGCATGGAGATCAAGAACGACCGTAAGACGGGAATGGTGACTGTACAACAAACCAAGTTTCTCAAGTCCGTGTTAACCAAGTTCGGAATGGATAACAGCAAGCCAGTGAAGACGCCTCAAGATCCCGGCCTGAAGCTAACCAAGAACATGTGTGAACAAGAATGCAAGCACGAAGACACCATGTGCAACGTGCCATATCGAAGTGCTGTCGGAGGCATCATGTATCTCATGGTCGCCACACGTCCGGATCTAGCTGCTGCAGTGGGATCATTATCCCAGTTCTCGTCCGACCCATGCCCGACTCACTGGCAAGCTTTGAAGCGTGTGCTGAGATACCTGCAAGCAACGCCCAATCATGGTCTTGAGTTTACACGTGAAGAAGGAAGCCGTATCTGCGGGTACACCGACGCAGACTGGGCCGGCGACATTGAGTCAAGACGAAGTACAAGCGGCTATGTGTTCATGATGAGCGGAGGATGCATCAGCTGGAAAAGACAGAAACAACGGACGGTCGCGCTATCTTCAACAAAAGCAGAATACATGGCGCTTTCCGAAGCAACCAAAGAAGCAGTATGGCTCAAAGTGCTTTTGGGGGAACTTGGTGAGATGACAAGCGACGAAGCGATCAAGATGTATGAAGACAACCAAGGATCAATCGCTCTCGCCAAGAACCCGGAGTTCCATAAGAGAACAAAACACATCGACATACGCTACCATTTTGTGCGTGAGAAGGTGGAATCAGGTGAAGTCGTTTTGGAGTATTGCCCGACTCAAGATATGCTGGCAGACATGATGACCAAGCCGATCGCCGCTGTACAATTTGAAAACATTCGCGATCGACTTGGGATCCAAGGTGCCGCAGCTAACGAGTCGAGAGGGAGTGTTGAAAAGAC